TTGGATGAAAAGGAAGTGGGTTGGGGGAGGCCAGTCTGCTCAGAACTCAGGAATGAGAATAAAACGCGAGTTGCAAAGAAAGCTGAGAGGAAGCGATTAATTTATCACTTTGGTTAATGATGTAACTTGGGAAACCATTTGAAGCAGGAGATCCTGACATCTAACTTTGATGATCTCCGAGTTCGTTGTGTATCTGAGAAATCGCCATACTTTTGGAGGAGAAAAGGTTTCCACGTTCTAACTTTGAGAGTCATATCCCACCTGGTTATTTACCTAATATTCGAAATGCGCAGTCGTCGTTTGAACCTTTTTTAATTTCTCACATAAAGGTAGCGACCGAAACGCAGCAAAGATTGTATCCCAGTAAATTTAACGCTTTTTTGCTTCCTCATCTTTCGCTCATCATAACATTACGTCATCAGATTAGATTTTCGGTGTTTTCACGAACATTTGCTAGAACCAGTGACCATAACTTTTGCTTGACAAGTGTCGTGTTCGACAAATCCAAAACTTTTTCAGTACGGTAACTTACTATATAAGTTCTCTAAACTTTCAGATTGGTGCAAATTCGAGTCTTCCAATAAGTATAATGGCGTCCTTCAAATTTCTTCTGATAACTCTCCTTGCGTTAATGTTCATCTGCAGCACTTCTGGTGAGTTGTAGAATTGGTTTATTCTCGACTCAAACTTCATCTACGTTTTGCAGTAGAAGCAAGGATTAAGCACCATCATCCTAGGCCAAGGCCGCCCCACCATAAGCCGATCCATCACCATCCTCCCAAGCCAATCCATCGTCCGAAGCCTCACCACAGGCGCCATCGCTTTTAGCTCAAACATCTTCCTGTGATACATTTGATGAACTACTTTGCTGCATGATCTTTATAGAGTTTATTGAAAGGCAAAATATATGTACGATATGAGTGCTTGACTATGCAATTTCAAAACAGTTACCAGTCTTCTTGCTTACAGCAGCTCGTTGCTTATACTCTTCAGTCAAAATTGGTATTTTATGGGTGGAGAGGTTTTCATTTTGTCTGTCTAACTGTTATAAGATTCTTCTCAATATGCTCAACTTACAAGCCATAGCAGATAAAAGTCTCAGAAATCAACATAATCTGAATTTTTCAATGGCTTGATCAGCTCAAGCTTCTTTTGATACACTCGATAAAAATTTTGCTGCATGAGGATGTTTAAGAAAGTTTTGCTGGTAACAAGATCTATGTTAGCATTCTTACCATTCTGCGGTTAGTTATGGTTGAACAGGTTTTATGGTACGGATAATCGTGATAAGATTGTTATCTACGACTTTATTTGTTCTGACTTTGTGCTACAAACAGCTCATTGATTTTCCTTCATGAGGTCCTTGAAGTATTTCAATGCAAATTCATTAGCAAAATTATAGCAACTGGAAGTTGCAAAACTCGGTGTATTTTCTGCTAGCCACTTTATATTATGGAGTGCTCCTATCAACCGCTTGATACCCTGATTTTAAAATGATGAAGGAGTCAAAATCTGTAAACATAAGTTAAATAGGGTCAGCAATTTTGGAGCTCAAGTTTGCACAGGAGAAGTCACATATGAAGGATCATGTTTAGAATTCAAGACCTGTCTTAAAAATAACAGTTGCTTACCTTCCATCCTCTATGACAAGTAAAGTCATCTGCGTGAGAGGATCTTTATCACTTGAAAGATGAAATGAAATACAGGGTGTTCCAAAAGTAAGTACACACTTTTTAATCGTCAATATCTCTCTTCTCATTGGGTCTTTTTCCGCCACTCAAATACCATTTTGTAGAGCGAGGTTGAACTTAGATTTGCAGTATGGAGCGGGTCATCGATCGCTCTTCGTTACTGTAGGATTAAGGTAGGAACTTCCAGCATGTGGAACCATTGTGAAATATGCCATCTGACAAATTTTGAAAAAATCTGAAAAATCGTGTACTAGGGTTTTCGCGCACGCCGATTCCACTGCACAACTTTTGTGAGTGTTTCCAGCTTTTCTGATAGTGTAATTACATTTCCGACCTGCTGGGAACTCGGTTATTACGGTTTACCTGGGATAACTCAGGAAAGAAGCATCACAGTCAGGTGGAAGTTTCATGTTCGAAATCAGCACTTTGGCAGAAGTATGAAAATCTTCGTTTTCTTGGTTTCTAACTGAAAAAAAAATACGGCAACTGCGTACATATACGTCTTATGTGGATAGTGTTTACGTGAGCAAGTTAGAATTTTTGTAGGATTTTTATGAACTGAGTTACGATTTTTCTCAATTTTTTGGGTAGTTAAATCTTTTTAGTTTTTGGCTCGAAACTCGTGGTGGATTAGAGCTGTTGCCAAAACAAGATTGCCATCTTGTAGAGCTTGCTTTGCTCTGTCGAATGGTACCTTGAAAGCTATTCAGGGATGAAAAATTTATGACTTATTGCGGTTGGAATTTAAAACCTGCATTAATTTCCGGACAACCTAATACTTGAGCGCTGGAAAAAGATCCAATGAGAAGAGAGATATTAACGATTGAAAAGTGTGTACTTACTTTTGGGACACCCTGTATATATATTCTGAGTCAGCTTTGAACGCTGATTCCAATTTTGCTGTTACTAGTTGCCGCGCACCATTCCGAAGGAGGTTATGGGCTTTTCCTGCGCAAAATTGGCATGCTTATCGACTCACTGGCATCACGGCAACATCATTTAGGGTGCTATTACAACTGCGTTAAGCTTCTTTTTAGAAAGGATTGTATTTGCGTTAGTTTGATATTTCAGCACCTTTGAATATAAAATCTTTAAAATCCAAATTATCCTTGTAAAATTTTTTTCTTCGGGCCATGGCTGCTGCTACCGCCAATCTTTCCAAATTTCAAGGATTATGGGTCTGCAAAAAGAAGCATCCCAAAAATTTTTGCGGAATGCGTGGCCAAAGCCACGCACCTTCATTGGAGAAAATTATTGCCCCCCCCCCCCCCCTGACGGAAATCCTGGGACGGCCACTGCTATATGCATTGAATATCTAATGTATATTCTAGCTGTGGTTGTTTGGTCGCAAGAATTCAAATAAAAGGCGTAATAGGGTCAAGCAAAAGGTGTGCCATACGATCGCTGCTTACGCTCCCCCCCTCCCCTCCAGAGTTATATGTCTCTAGAAGACTTCTTTATATCACCAATTACTTACTGTAAGCATAAGAAGGAGGCCATATCAAGCAAAAGTTTATTTTTGTATTAGCATGGCAATAACTCCCTTGGGCCGATGTTTTAGAGTAATCTGAGATTTTACAGATACTAGGCCATCCAAATGAAGTCGTCATTTTCTAACATGGTTGAGACTCTGCGGATCGAATGCTACGAATTCAGCTTTCTTATTTCTCTATCTTGCAATGCTCTTCCGTTAGCAGATGTTAGCTCTCAAATACCAGAACAGATTTTGAAAAGTGGCTTGTTTGACTGGTTGAGGTCTTTAGGCAACCTGTGCGTGCAATCGCCGCTCAGTCATCGATCTTCACAGCCTGTGAAAGCCCTATAACTTCACTAGCTACCTGTTTTTGAGTCAATAAAAAACATTGCTCACACATCGTGTGACTCACTCAAACAACGAAAAACTTTGATATTAAAAGCTCGGAGAAATTCACGTTTATCCCTTTTTTCGTTTTCTGTGGCTGCACTTTCAGCAATCTTCACTCAGAAGAATGTGACGAACAGTTCTCAAAGTATTCATTGCAAGCTACTGATTCAGGCTATTGATCATTTATGCATCATGCATGTAAAATTTTTTCTGTAACAAAACTACTGAAGTCTCGCGCAACCCCACAAAAGCACAACTGCTACATTGAGGATGAAGGGGTGTGTTGATGAAGGGAATCGGTTACAAGTAGGTTTAATTAGGCCCAATTTGTTGAATCTGCTTTTGAAAAACAATTTTTTCGAGTTTTCAGAGCCATTTCATCTTTCAAGTGAAAGATTCACTTATGCAGATGATTATACTTGCCATAGAGGATGAAAGGTATGCAACTGTTGATTTTGGAACACATCTTCGAATTCAAAGCATGAAATCCTTGTGGTCGTGACTTCTCGAAATGAATTTGTGCAAATATGAGCTCCAAACTGCTGACTAACTTACGATCACGGATTTTGATTCTCTCATCATTTTGAATTAGGGTATCAAGCGGTTGGTAGGAGCTCCATAATATACTCCATAATATAAGGTGGTCAGCACAAAGATATACCGAGTTCTGCAGATTGCTTGCTATAAGCTTGCTTATGAAACTGCACTTGAGTATACTTTGAGGGCCTCATAAAGGAAAATTGATGAGTTGTTTGTAGCAAAAAGACGGAACAGATATAATGTCGTTGATACCGATCTTAACACAATTATCCGTAGCATACGGCCCGTTAATCATAACTAACCACACTGTATGATACGAATGCTAACGTAGATCTTGTTACCAGTAAAACTTTCTTAAACGTCCTCTTGCAGCAAAATCTCTACCAGGTGTATCATAAAGAGCTTGAGCTACGAGATCAAGCCATTAGAAAATTCAGATTATGTTGGGTTTTGCTATGGCTTATAAATCATTTGTGCTGTATACTACATTTGCGCATATCGAGAAGAATCTTATAACAGTTGGACAGACAAAATGAAAATCTCTCCACCCATAAAATACCAGTTTTGACTGAAGAGTATAAGCAACGAGCTGCTGTAAGCAAGAAGACTGGTAACTGTTCTGAAATTGCATAGTCAAGCACTCATATCGTACATGTACTTTGCCTTTCAAGTAAACTCCATAAAGATCATGCAGCAAAGTAGTTCATCAAATGTATCACAGGAAGATGCTTGAGCTAAAAGCGATGGCGCCTATGGTGAGGCTTCGGACGATGGATTGGCTTGGGAGGATGGTGATGGATCGGCTTATGGTGGGGCAGCCTTGGCCTAGGATGATGGTGTCTGGGTTTTGCTTCCACTGAAAGCATATGGAGGTCTAGTCGGGCTAGGCCGATTCTGAAACTTACCAGAAGTGCTGCAGATGAACATTAACGCAAGGAGAGTTATCAGAAGAAATTTGAAGGACGCCATTATACTTATTGGAAGAGTCGAATTTGCACCAATCTGAGAGCTTAGAAGGCTTATATAGTAAGTTACCGTATTGAAAACGTTTTGGGTTTGTCGAACACGGAACGTGTCAAGCGAAAGTTATGGTCAAATTCTGGTTTTAGCAGATGTTCGTGAAAACAATGAAAATCTAACTTGGTGAGTGACGTAATATAATGATGAGCGAAAGATGAGGAAGCAAGAAAGCGTGGAAGTTTCTGGGATGCAACCTTTGCTGCGTTTCGGTCGCTAACTTTATGTGAGAAATTAAAGAAAGGTTCAAACGACGACTGTGCCTCCAAAAACATTTCGAATATTAGATAATGATTGTACCTTTCACTTGCTGAAAAATCTCTTAGATTAGTGTAGCTTCTAGCTAAACTATCCTTTCTTGGAGATTTTACTTATTGCAAAGGCGCAACTTCCTGGCTTCAAAAACTTGATTGCCAGCCGCCAGTACGCAGAGTTCAGCAGTGGCCGTATTCATCAACGAACCCTGAGGGTTAAACTAACCCTGGGGGTAAGTTTAACCCTAAGGGTTCATTTTCCGTATTCATCAAACACAGGGTAGGGTTCACCACGGAACGCGATCCACCCTTATCGATCAGCGAACCTGTAGCCGTATTCCGAACCCTGAGGGTTAAACTAACCCTGGAGGGTTAAGGCGTCAGTTACGCGTGCGCTGTGCAAACTTACATAACGGAATGCCTAAGTACGTGCTAAATTCACTTTATACTTCTACTCTTTCATTGTTACTAGTGAACCAGCATTTGAAGGTGCTAGTAGCATGCGCACGCTACGGGACCGCCATGCACATTTTTGAATTGCGCTTAAGATTCTTTATATATTAGATTAGATAGTAGTATTAGGTCGTTCCGAAAGTAATGTCGCATTTTTCAAATGGACGTCACATCTCGCGGAACCAAGATTTTCGAGAGCTCTTGGGATCAGTCGATGCAGCATTTCGTCCTCTTTCTAGTGGTTGTACAATCATTGCATAATATTTAATGAGCTCTTAAAAAATTACCAAAAGCTGCGACTCATGCTTTTTGTTATGGTCAAGTTCGGCTATTTTTCTATATTTTTGTACTCATTCCCCGAAGATGTACAAGTAATAGATAAATAGAGCAAACCCTATAGGCCACAAAACAATTTTTCTCTTTTCCTTAGTTTGCTTCTTAGAGTTTGTAGAATTAATTTTTTAGTGCTATCAAATTCCATATTTGTCAACTCAAACCTCACAGAACAATAACCGGCAAGCAACTCGGATGTCATTCGACGCAGCTTTTTCTCCTCTTTTTACCAGTTGTTTTTGGTTTCCGATTCATAAAGTTTGCCGGGAAAGAATCATCATAATTCAGGTTTTCCAGGGCACCCCAGGCTGTACCCGAAATTTCAGAAAGTTGCTAATCTGAAGCGATAAATGCTAATATACTTTGTAAAATTAGTGTTAAACCATTATCCACCTTTGTAGGTTTCAGAATCCGAAAGTTTATTGGTGCTTGATGCATATGTGTTTGAGACAAGCCTGCAAAAATTCGGTGACTTCATTGAAAAATCTCTACAAAAATTATGACGAGATACGGAAAGCAGAAAAAAGTGGTACCGTTTCCCATAGGGTTTGCTCTATCCATCCATTACTTGGACATCTTCCGGGAGTTATTACAAAAGGTTAGAAAAATTGTGAAACTTGACCTTCCCAAAAAGCATGGGTTGGAGATTTTAGTAATTTTTCAAAAGCTCATTGAGTATTCTGCAGTCAAGTTATAGCCATCAGAAAGAGGATGAAATGATGCATCGAATGCTATCAAGATCTCCTAGAAACCTTGCTTCCACGAAATGTAGCGTTCACATGAAAAAAGCGACATTACTTTTGGAACGACCTAATATAATCAACGAATGAGCTTCTAACACTGGTTTTTATGATACGTCTCTAGCATATTTATGCAGCACCCAATCTTACAGCGTGAGTTTATTTTCATGAGTGCGATTGTGCCGTGTAAGTTCTACTCTTGCGCAGTTCGTCATACCGGGCTTGTACTACTCTTTTAAGGGTCAATGCGTGTTATCTTAAAGGAATTCTTCTGTTTTGGCACTCGTTAGAGTGGAATGCGCAACCATTTTTCCTCGTTGCATTCATTTGTCACCAAAACTAGAATTCTTTTTCTCGCAAAGTAAGTGTTTTATGTACTTTGAATTTGAACATAAAACGAAGTCGAAACTAAACATTATAACAACAACTAACACTAAATACTACAACACTCGTTGATCGTTTTCCATAAAACTATCAAATGCGAGTAAATGTTTGTAGGAAGTGTTAGGGTAGAGTTAACCCTGCTCTAAGCTAGGGTTAAATTAACCCTGATGAATCACGTAAGTTTAACCCTCCAGGGTTAGTTTAACCCTCACGATTCGTTGATGAATACGGGTTAGTCGCTTTCGGGTAAAATTAACCCTCAAGGTTAGATTTAACCCTCAGGGTTAAGCTTACCCTGTGTTTCATGAATACGGGTTAAACGCTTTCCAGGGTTAAATTAACCCTCCAGGGTTAGTTTAACCCCCGGGGTTCGTTGATGAATACGGCCACAGGATTATTTCAGGCATATAGTCCTTCGGAGAGTTGATATGCTGTAGTTGTATGGAGACCTACTGGGTTGCTCATATGAGAAGAAGGACGATTTTGGAATGCCGCCTTTTCTCAAAATATAACAACCGGCCATTGGCACTCTAAAACTGTCAAAATTTTCTTAGTAAGCGACTAAAGATTCTTTCGCTTTGCAGAATGAACGAAAATTTTGCAAATATCGTACTGATTTTGCCCTGCTCATCCTTTGATCCCATTATCCAACAGTCGATCCTTATAAATTCTAGTTTGCTGCAAAAAGAGTTGCAGCGAGATGCAAGTTTGACAGCTCGCGCTTCTTGTGCGCAACAGAATTTGAGTGCAACAGCGGCTTTGAAATCGACACACTTCTCTCTTATATGTTCCAAAACCAAAAATTTAGCCGTTTACAGCTTGACGAATTATAATCTTGAACCACTTTAGCACCCAACTAAGTCGAAGGCTGCTCAGCTGAAACACTTTTCATTTTGGATTCAACCGATATTATGATGTAGCGGAATTGGATAATGCCTTGATAAAGTTCTAGCACAAAGGATACCATGCGCAGGACGATTGTCACATATCAGGAACAGTCAACGTCCTTTTTTATCTTAGAGGTAATCCAGTAAAGAAAAATACCGCAATGATCTGTGATAACTCCCACAATTTCTTGTTTCGCCTTCTTGATCGATCATTGTTAATTAATCAGCCGACTTTTTGGAATGTAAACGAGTATCCTTATTAGAACCAGAATTTCACTACTCTTTTTTCATTAAATCTATCTTCAGTGGCAAATAAAACTTTTTGTCTAAAACAAGTGAATTGATATATAGTGCAGTCAGGGCTGAGATTGTGTGCAAATTCGAGGCTTCACTGAAGTTGTTGCACACCTTTGAAGACTATCTTGTAGAGTTAGCTTTGCTCGATCGATTGGTATATCAGATCATATCTGGGATAAAAAACATTAAAAAAAATACGAATTAAAATATGAATTACCGCGGTTCACAGATACCTATTTTGGTGCGAGATTTATGCTCCAAGAATAATAGAATCATAACTTATAATAACGGGCTAAGGGTTGTTTACGTTTGTGTGTGTGTGTGTGTGAATCTCTGTCTGTCACGAAATTCGTAGAGCGTGTTCCAGCCAACGTCCTGAGCTCAAATTTTGCACAGCGCATGCTACCATATTGAGAGTCCAGTATACAAAAGCACGAGCGGATCCGTTGTGTGGATCCCTCAAAAAATGCGCGCCAATCGGACCCACCTGGCTTTTGGTCCCCAAAATTGGATCCGTAATTCCACTTTTTGCAAGCTCGTGGATGTTTATGGCAAGTAAATGTGGAAACCATGAACTTAGGCCCAAAAAAGTGATCAAAAGTTTATTACTTTACAAAAACGGCGCCAAAAAGTATTGGTTGCGTAAATGGTCATTTTGCCAAGCTTTTACCAGAGCATTTGATGAGATTTTTGCACCTAAATGTAGCTTATGGTAACAACTGTTCTTATGGCGACTGTCAAGACTGTGGGAAAATCAAAAACGTGCAAAAGCTTTGTTCTCCTGCAAAAAAATCTCATCCACGCGAAATCACCGATTTCACATGAAAAAGCTTTCGGAATGAGTAGTTGTTTACATTCTGTATATGATAGTCGGCATTGCTCGGTGAGTTTTAATGCCATCATTATGCGAGAATGAGTAGGGCCTAGATAGTAGAACCAGTGCGAACCTCTGCGAAGCAGAGGTGACGCACTGGTAATGGAAATAACGGGCTAAGGATGTTTACATGACTTTGTGTGTCTGTGTGTGTGTGCGAGAGTGTGTCTGTTACGAAATTCGTAGAGCGTGTTCCAGCCAACCACCTGGGCTCAAATTTTGCACAGCGCATGCTACCCGCATGAAAGTCCAACACGCAAAAGCACGAGCAGATTCGTTGAGTGGATCTCTCAGAAACTGCGCGCTAAACGGATCCACTTTGCATTTGAGCTGCAAGATTGGGTCCGTAATTCCACTTTTTGCAGAGTCGTGGATGTTTATGCCATGTAAATGTGCAAGCCATGAACTTAGGCCCAAAAAAGTGATCAAAAGTCCATTACTTTACAAAAACGGCCCCAAAAAGTATTGGTTGCGTAAATGGTCATTTTGCCAAGCTTTTACCAGAGCATTTGATGCGATTTTTGCGCAAAGATGTAGCTCACGGTGGCTGCTGTTCTTACTGCAACTGTCAAAACCATGGTAAAATCAAAAATCTATAATAATTTGCGTTTGTTTTCCTGCAAAAAGTCTCACCCACGCGAAATCACCGATTTTACATAAAAAGCTTTTGGAATGAGTAGTTGTTTACATTTTGTCCGTGATAGTCGGCAATGATCGGTGAGTTCCAATGCCATCATTATGCGAGAATAAGTAGGGCCTAGATAGTAGAGCGAGCCAC